GGCACAAAGCCTTGCGCATTTCTTTAATGTAAGAGTATATTTTAAAACATTGCAGCAGCCCAGCCTTCCTTACTAGCACCACTAAAAGCTCCTTAAATATTAATGAAAAAACAATGTAGAGATTCACAGGAATCTACTATACATTACTACTGACTCCGAGAAAACAAACAGCAGCAGTAACATGAAGATTTTACAAATCTCTCGATGCATTTCATCTTTGAGGTGTGTATGCACAGGGGAGAAACAAAAAAAGTATTTGAATTGCAGTAATAAACTAGTAGGGAGGTAGTTTGTTGATTTGGGAGGATCAGTACATTGAATTTCCCTTTCGTAACAGACTCACTTCTGAAGATTTTAAAATTGCACATTTCTCTCAGAAGCAAACATTTAAGGTGTTCTTAAAAATATATGTAGAGCTCTGTATTAATATGGAAACAATCAGGGTCTTATTTTAAGTTCCTTTTACATGTTGTGTGACAGTGGGGCTGTCCCTTAATTCAAATATGCAATTTATCCAATTCTTCCTTCCACAATAGAAGGTACCCCAAAAGGTATCTGCATGCAGAATAAATTGATGGCAAAACAGAAATGGGGAGTTGGAGCAGAACGAGTATATGTAAAATTGGTCTTCAGAAAAACAGTCGAGATTTCCAAACTAGACTGACTTGTGTTGATCATTTTACTTTTTTACATCTTCAGCACAGAAGACTTTCTGATTTGTTAAGGATGTTCTTTTGCAATATAACTGCAGTTAACAAAAGGAAACATTCAGTTGGCTGTAAATCATACTTTCCACAGTCTCACAGCTGATTGAGGATGCTCCTGCCTACAGATGATCCCTTACAAAGGAATTGTAATACTGAATTAACTCAGTAATATATATACTGAATACATAAGAAGGTGGTTCAAGTACCTCATTTAAGATAAAGCCAAAGTTCAAATGTCTTGCAGAGATTATCTTAAAATAGTAAGTCATACCTGACCACCAAAATTTAGAGATGAGAATATCTGCTATCATCCATCATAATTTATTAAACTCATTGTGTACTCTTTTTGCATCTTGTTAGGTTCCTGACTTTGTCACAGCATGTAGTAGTGATGAATTCTACATCTTGCTTCTCACAAAAAAATTCCTGAACTTTCCACCTGTCATCTAATATCATTTCTCTTCTGCTTACTTAATAAGAAAGAAATATTTGCCTTATACTGTGTTTCATCTCACAGGATGAAAAACAGTAGTTCCCACCTCCTTTTCTGCGAGGTTTTAGATGTTGGTGCAAGCCTGACCACATTTGTTCTAAAGAGCTTTTTCTCTTCAGACATCAGCATTGAAACAGAAAGTACATGTTCGTTAATTCGACAGATCCAAGACTCACTTAAATACCACAAGTACTTCTCCGTATTGGGAACAGATTTCAAAACACTTAATTTCTTATGTCTATGACTATGTTCTCTTGAAAGGAAACTCAACAGGTGAAAATCATTCTTGCTCCAATAGTGAGAGGCATAACAAATAGGTGTTAATCCAAAATTTGCTTACAAGTTATACATGGCCTCCAAGGACCTAGGAAAACAGAGTATGGAAAAGGGAGGTTTACAGATCAGGAGTATATCTTCATTATAAAATTCCTGCCAACCCTTCTCACCATAGTCACAGCCTCCCTGCATCTGCAACAGTCACTCCACTCTGACCAGAATCCTGTGCTTATCCATTTTTCCTTGGGTACTTACTCTTGACACTTTGAAAAACTTTACAGCAAAATTGCTCAGTCTCAGAAAACAACCTTCAGGTGACAGTTAAGTGCTCCCTCTAAGGCAATAACAATACTCCCCACCACCTGTTAGAGATCTGCACCTGAAGCTGAGAGCAGATCTCTGAAATAATAGCCATTGGTCAGTATTGAAAATCTACGCTAATCTACATCTAAAAAAAATCAAACAGGAAGCTCCTAAGTTCAAGGAAGAAACGGAAGTTAAATACGTTTACAAATCACATTTATCAGCACCAGCAACTGAGCTGCTTCTCCAAGCCATTTACTTCATTCCAACTGATGACATAAAATGCTCCCTGAGAGAAAACAGAACAAAAAAACAACTACTCTTAAATCCATGAAACAGACTGGTATGTAAAACACAAGTTAAAAGTAAAGAAAGCAGACTTGAACTCAGGCATGGTCAAAGGTTCCAATTAAAAGCTCCTCAGAGAACCGTGCTGCCTCCAGACACCAGTAAGAGACAACACAACCATCCTGGATGTTGGGCTCCGAGTGCACCGCTGGACTGTGCAGCCCCTTCCCCATTCCCAGGGGAGTTTGGCTGTTCATGCCCATGGCCAGCACTGACACAGTGCAGCCTGAGCATGTCCATCAGGGTCCATGTAAAGAGCTGCAGGGGAAGCCTCATCTCAGTTTCTTGGCCCTTGCCCAAGCCACCCTGCAGGAAGCCTGTGCCTGCTCATGCACCTTGATGCCCTCTGACCTGACTTCCCAACCTGGCCACTGATCTGCCTCAGCCCTGTGGACTTGTCTAGCAATCGCCGGACTCTTGCCTAACCCTGGTCACTGTCACCAGACCTGCTCTGTTGTCCTTGCTCAGGTAGTGTGGGACCTCATCAGTGAGGTCTCTGCCCAAGCCCCTGCCCTCTTGGCACCCTTGCTCAGCTGCAGGCTCACCAGCACTTGCTGCTCCCTCACACTGGCTTACTTCAAAATAACAACAAAAAATTATCTTCAAGATTTGGCAAGGTCACAGCTCTGGTGGATCTTTCTCAATAAAGCGTTGAACCGTTATCCCCCTTTTCAAATAACAAATGATACAGAGAGATTAAAATAATTAAATATTGTTAGGAAAATAACAATTATCTACATTTAATTGTGATGCTCAGTACTCTCACTACATTACTGTAGATTTCTTTCATACTGAAATATGATTCTTACGAAATCTGAATAGATTTCTTTCATACTTAAATGGACACGGCATTTGATTCTTTCTTGCTAGGTCTCATTCAGACTTCCAGAAAGACGCCCAGCTGCCATTGTCAGTGGTGCATGGTGTGAACAACCTTGCAAGGGATTTGTGACAGACAAGCTCTCCTGACCGCAACAGTGGAAATCAGGAGCAAGCGTCCCCTGAGGATGTATATTTCCTCTTCTTTCTCCAGGAAAGAAAAGCAAGCACTTCCTCTCACACCCACAGAATATCAGCAAAATAGGCTTTTTGTTCTTACGTGCTTTGAATGAAAGACTGGATTTAGGAACAAACTTAAAAACATAAGAAATTAAATTCTCACTCCTTTCAAGAACGTTCACTGCCTACAGCAGTATTCACACTAATGGTCCTATAATCCGACTGAGATTTGTTCAAGACTTTTAGTGCTGGTATTCTAGAAGCTTCAAAACCTCCCATCTGAGTAATAAAAGAGTAATTAGCAGAATAGCTAGGTGTTGTGGTTTGTTCTTGGTTTTTTTGGACTGCCACTATTCCTACACAAACAAAACTTCTAGGTAAGTATCTGCATAAGTGTTGACCTGTAATTCTGCAACTACATCCATCTAGCAAGACAGTGATATGCTCCACTGACAAAGTTGACGGCAATTCTCTAGCCCAGTAAAAGTTAGTTGAGATGAAATCACAGTCCATTTTGTTCCAGCTTGCTAAATTAACTTCTGTCTGAGCAAAAAAATTAATGGAAATAAGAGAAGATGCAAGCAAAATTGGCAGTTCTTAAACTTACATTTAACAGATTAAATTTAATATGAATTTATATCAACAGAGTTTAAATAGTCACTGACAGCATTTCAGGAAACAGGAATGAAGCTAAATTGAATGCAGAATCAGGACCAGCAATTGTGGGACATAAGCAATATGTGGGTGCAGAACTCTGCCTATTACAGAATTTGAAACTCTAAATGGTCTCCAGACTTTTTTGGGACGACGATGTGTCCTTTGACCCTTCAACAATGCAAGAGCTGGAGTGATTTGATGTAGCCATCTAAACCAGTGCAGATGAACAAAATCTAGAGGAAGGCAACCATTAAACATGACAACATAGTCACAGATGTGAAACCAGATTTGTTGTAATGGAGAACTATTACAAAGAATGTAAGCTCTCCTCAGAAAGAGTTCCGAGAATCTCTCATATTGCTAGATTTTTATAATCTCGAGGCTTTCGTGACTTGAAAATGTTTAAGAAGAAGTAACAAATAGAGAAACATTGTAAGATTCCTTATAAGGACAAGTCAGTAAATCAGAGCAGCAGAAGCTGAATATTGATGATGACAGATTTACAAGGAGGAAAACACAAATTTTCAAAAGAGGAAAAAGAAAAGGATCAGTTACAGCATGACAGCAATAAATTCTTTATCTTCTGCATGTTTGAGTCATCCCACAAGACTCTGAAAGAGCTCGATTAAAGCTGCAAATTTAGCCAGTTCACAGGTTAATACAATTCAGATTAGTTTTTGAATAACAAAAAGACTTCAAAAACCCTGAACTTCTTAACTTTCATCAAACTAAGCAAGAGCCAGATTTTGAGACAGAACATCTACATTCACCATGTTACTAGAAATACACAGATGCTTCTTGGATTTTAATATAAAAAGACTTTGGAGGTAACACTAAAAGGAAAGAACCTGAAAAAAACCAATCCTCTAACAACTGCACAAGATATCTTCCCACAACTCTAATCATAAAGCTTGAAGTCTCGACTTTGAGCTTTCTTCCTTTGTAAGGACATAACTTCTCCTTGCTCACAATATGAGAGGAAAACAAGAAACTACATTTTCAATGCTCTTGAATAAGAGCTCATACCTATGTAAATAAAACTTCAGCTATTTCATCCAAATGATGACACTAGGAATATGAACACTTTCAGGAAAAGTAAAAATTCTTAACAATTTTTATCATGGCTTCTCTTAACATTTCATTTGGTCTAAGCATACCAAAGAAATTCTTACATTTCAAAGATTGTAAAAATCACTTTGTACAGAAGCACCACTTACCCACAATAACAAATCCATCTGCTTCTCTCTCTGGCACTGTAACCTTCTTCGAGTCTTGACTTTTTCGGAAGAAGCTGAACATAGCCTCTTTTTTTTCTTCTAAGTTGTTATCTAAAATGAAGACAAAGCATGTTAAATAAATATAACAGAATTTATCATAAGAAGTTCACATCATGCCGAAGGCCACACACATGATGTTACAGCTTAATCTTTATTATCAGATTTGAAACATCAGGCATTTGTACGTTAGACAGGTTACCTTATTGATGTTGCAATTGACTTTAATAGGCAAAAAGAGAGTGAAGTATAAAAGGCTTTTCTATAAAGCTATGAATGGAGTGGAACCACTGGAAAACAAAACAAACAAACTTCAACCTTTCTAAAGGAAAGTGCATTTATCTTGCATGTTTCCATATTTTTCTGCTACTTTAAATTGTTTTTACACAAACTTTCTCATCAGAGTTAGTTCTAAAGCATCTAAACTTTGAAGCTCAAAACATGATCCTATAGGAAATGCAGCTTTATAATGAAGAAATACTTGAATGAAGCAAATTGCACTACAGACTTTCAGCCTTAAGTGTCTGTGTATCAATTAAAAAGACCAACTCACCCACCCCTACAAATATTAGCATAGTATCTGTTTTCATTTTTCCAGTTTGCAATTTTAGAGACAGCTTAACACTTGGGTGTATTTGATTAACAGTTACTACTGATTCCCTTAAAAGAAACTGCCATAAAATCCTACGCTGCAAATTTTTCATAACAATAATTCATTAAAAGAATCTTTCAAAGCAGCTAAGAACTCTGAGTTCTCAACAGCGGGAATAAAACAAGGAAACACTACAGGAAAGCTGGAGAGGGACTTTTTACAAGGGCGTGTAGTGATAGGACAAGGGGCAATGGATTTAAACTGAAAGAGGGCAGATTTAGGTTAGATATAAGGAAGAAATTTTTTACATTGAGGGTGGTGAGGCACTGGAACAGGTTGCCCAGAGAAGTTGTGGATGCCCCATCCCTGGAAGTGTTCGAGGCCAGGTTGGATGAGGCTTTGGGCAACCTGGTGTAGTGGAGGATTTCTCTGCCCATGGCAGGGGGGTTGGAACTAGATGATCTTTAAGGTCCCTTCCAACCCTAACCATTCTATGATTCTATGAAACCAGTGGGACAAAAACTTTAACTGCAAAAGATTATGCTCAGTATCTCTTCTCTCTCAAGACTGGCAGATTACATATAAGCAATTCTGAATAGCTTAAAAAGGGCAAATTCATATTAAAAACGCCACAAGCATTAGCCAAAATATTTGGGCCAACTGTTACAAAATTAAGTCCTATGAACCACCCCATAAACATGGATACAGCATGAAACATTCTTCTAAGCAAATTTTCTAATTATTCTGAACTTCAAGATGTAGACTCAAGGAAGTTTCTCTTCTTCCAAGAAAAGTTACAAGAAAAGCTTTATAAGGAAGTATCACTCTTGTGAAGAACAACCAACAGAACTATACAAAGCATGTATTCACAGAGGACCACCAATGGACCACCACCTACTTTCTATTTTCTACCTAACAGCACCACTTGATGCAGCAACTGAGAGTCTTCCCAGTCTCTTCCCGCAAGAGCAGCTCCATCCGTGGCACTGGGACAATGAGAAAAGTGGCACGGCAGCAGCAGTCACCCCTCGGAGGAGCGCTCACCTTCACCCCCCGAGGGCTGAACTCGGACCACTGGCCAATGCCAACCGACGGAGCAGCTGGTGGTCTGGCTGCAACACGCTCTGTGCCAAACACTGAGAGGAAGGTTTAAAGAAAGGCATGTGAAGCTCTTCTCTACTAGAATACCAATATAAAATCAGGAAAAGTGGAATAATGTAATTTCAAGTCTGAAGTAGAGTTTGAGGAAGAGAATCCTGGCAGTGTTAGCTTTACAGTTGGACTCGACGATCTTGAGGGTCTTTTCCAACCTAAATGATTCTATGATTATGCTCTATGATTTAAAGGAGAAGGGACTGACCAATCGATAGCAACGTCTGATATACACCTCCAACAAAGGAAAGGAGTCTGGTCTAAGGAAAAGAGGTGTAGAGTGTCAAGTTGCAATAACATTATTTTACATTAAATTTAGCAAAGAAGAATCTTTAGAAGGTTGGAAAGAAGGAAGAGTGCTATCATGCAGTGTTTGGATTTGAAAAAAAAATTAAAATCTCGGATTCATTAGTTGCTGGAATGCCTCACTTCCCACCCAAATATTCATGGCACCATGTGCAAGACTTTTTTTGCCCTACAGTGACCTGTAGCAATTAACTACACCATCAGCACTGACTATTCACCAGATGTAACTGCCTCACACTCTACTATTAAAAGTGATAGCAACCACTTCCATGCTTGAGATCACAGAAAATCCTGTATGAAGTGTAAGTACTGGCTTTCAGGAACAGTATGGAAATACAACATGGCAAAAGCAGCAACGATTCAGACTGTGGCCTGATACCTGAGACTTGAAGACTGAATACCCCGCAGGCTGGCTACTGCTTGCTTCTGCTGACTCAGTGCAATTTCTAGGGACCAAATAAACTACACTGATGTATACAAAAACAGAACAAACCATCCAGTCTCTGGTATGCAGTAATTAAAAAAAAAAAAAAAAAAGTTACTTATCTGCACTTTATTCCTTTTTGCTTGTTTTCCTACCTTACCACGTGGAATACTGATATTTCCAGTTCCATGGAGATTACACAGTAGAAACTCCTAATTACCTCATTTATTCCTTACCTTCCCCCACACCCAGGCTCAACACATGGCGCCAGCAGCATATTCCTTTTTCAGCCCTCAGGGAATAAGTCTTCTCCTGCTACCAATTAGGGTTGTCAGTCCCATAGCTCAAGTGGTAAAAACCTGTGCTGTAATGCTCAAGAGTCAGGTTTCTGCTGCGATGATGTATGAAGGAGAGGCAGTCATGGAACAGTTTAAAATGCAATTTTACCTTCATCCTAAGTGTGCCACAACAAGAAGTAAAATCAACTTGATGTGTAAAATCTTACACAGCTACAAAGATAGCTTTAGTAAAGGCTCAGATTCCAGTCAGCCTCTTCAGGTGCCAGAGCTGCTGTTGCTCCAACGCATTTTTTTCTCTCCAAGATCTGCATTATTGTACAGATTTCAGCTCAATCACATAGTGTTCTCCTTCCCTTCTTTCTTGCACAAAGAAAAGCATCTTAATCAGTATACGAATGGCACAAAAGAGTTGTACAAGAAACCATGCATTTGTTTAAATCCTGTATATTTAACAAACCTAAGCTTCACTGCTTAAAGGACAACAGACGTTTCCATTCAGAGTAAACTAACAATCGGTACAATTTGATCTAGCTAAATTTATGTTACAAGCACTTTCATAGACTAGATTTTTTTTCCTGAAGGCTGCCTGAGTATCCCAATTTTTTCTAAAACCCACAAAATTCATTAGATCTACATACATGAGGCTTGATCTTTATTTTGTAGTTTTCAGTTTCTGAAGTAGCTCTAACTTAATTCCACTGTCCGTAGTATTTCTCAAACAAAACACGAAACAAAAAAAACCCCAACACCTCTTTTTGCTTGAAGCAGAAAAACAAACAAAGCCAACAGAAGTACCCCTAAGCTCGGGTCTCAAGTTCTCACCCTGTTAAAACCACTGGGCCAGCAGTAACAAAACAGCGTGTGTTGCATTTTGTGACTGTGAACGTTGCGGAGGGGGTAAGGAATCCATATATTAAACAGACTAATGTGCTTAGTGAAGCTGTTTCCTTCTCTGGGTGTTCACCACCTAGAAACAAAACTCGTGCTTGTAGATCTCACGGGTCTGCATAACCCACGTGGAGGAAGGAGCTCGCCAACTACTCCTTGCAGTATTTCAGTACCTTTGCCGAACACATCGTTACATTTAAACTAAATAACAAACAACAACTAACAAAACAGAAACAAAAAGTACAATTGTATACAGCATGGCACCGGTAAAGGAAAAGCTGTAGACAGGCAATGCCGGGACATTTGTGATATTTGCTCCCTTAAGAATTTTATCAACTTTGGTATTTCAAAAGTAAACACAAATCTCTTCAGCAACGGGAAATGCAACAACTAAATTCTTGAATTACATGTTAAAAACAGAACAAAGCCCTGTCCAACAAAGAAACAAAGAGCTGAATGGAGACACTCGTGCTCTTGAAGATAAGAACACAGTCAAGCACTTGCAGAATCGGGCTGGAGTTTTACTACTTGTAGATAAGATGAGGTTACAGTTAACAAAAGTTGAGAACAGTCAGGTTTTGCACAAGTTTCATTTCAGAGTAAAAATTAAATTTGAAGTTTGTGGACCTGGATGCATGATCACACAGACTAGAGAGAAAAAAGCACTTAGTTGTGTTTTTTTTTTAAAAAGCTGTCAGCACAAAATCACAGAAAATACTCCCACCATTCAAAGATAGTACCATGTTCCTGCAGTAATTTCTCCTGTATAACACAGCACTTTTCCCTTCCAGATGGGATTAATTTTATTTCTATAGGAGACCTGAAATTGAATTCACTGCCTGAAGATAAAAATCTCCCTTGGTAGGAATAAGCAATTCCCTTCTCCTCATGTTTCCTCCTCGCCAAAAAGTGAACACAATTTTTTCTTTCTCCAGTCTCAATCGCTGATAGTTAAGAATAATGCTTTTGGCACTGCTTCAGTCATTAGCAAGCAATACACTGTGAACTACAGCAGTTCTGTGAGGCTGCGAGAAATATTTGGACTTTATGTGAAGCACAGAGAACATACGTGGGACTGGACAAAGATGAGTTACAGAGTTGCACAAAGGGATTAATTTATTCCTCCTGCATTTTGTCAGCATCCTTTGATAAGAAGTATGTGTGACCTTTGAGCCAAACCAATACGTTACATTCAATAAAATTTTTCCAAACAATGAAGACCCTAGCATATTTAGCATTACTTTTCAGCTTTACTCTGCATGTTCACAAGTGACAGGAGGAGAAAGGTAATTTAATATTAAAACCACCAAAGATGCAGACTAAGATAAAGAGAGGATGCCCAGGAACACAGCAAAGCAGAATCGCAGTGGCACTGCCAGTAATTACATAAATGATGAAACGAGGTCAGAACAAGACAGAAAACTGACCTTAAAGAAAGAACCAGAATACTGTCACATCCAGCAGTTTAAGCTATATAATCTACAGAAAAAGAAAACGGAGAGCATCAAAGCGATTCTCTTCCATGTTAGCATCTGCTGTGACTCACCAATAAAGTAGCAATCAGAAAAAGAGCAAGATGTTTACAGCCCTGTACAGCCCTGCTTATGACATGAAAACAACCAATTTAAGAGTCAAGAACATGCATGTCAAAAAGATTTATCTGACATCAAAAGAACAGTTTAAATGCTTTTGGCCTAGTGTAAGATACTATTTGAAGAAGAAAAAAACATACAACAGATCATTTCTTTTATCTGGCATTATCCTAAGTCGTATTCCTTCAGTTTGTGCTTCTTGAAAGCAGAAGAAAGGAAAATACAAATACAAAAAAGGATATACATATAACAAAACACTAAGAAAGACTTTTTCACTTACATAAAATGTGAATATTTATTTTTAAAGTTTTTATAAAATTTAAGAGAAGCAGAAATACCAAGAACTACGCAATCCAAAGTACCATAGTATAAAAACAGTCAAATATGATGAATAATAAAAAAACAACCGCAATCAAGTCAGACAATAAAAGCAGAGGTGACAAAGGCAAAGTCAGGAGTGAAATAACAGTACTCAAACCTATGTCAACATTCAAATCCCTGAAGAAGATAAAAAATGCTAAAACAGAAATCTAAGTGTTTATTAGATATAATACTCAATAGGTTGAAACCTACTTCTTTCCCTGCAAACAGTTCTCTCTTGATTGCAAGCCTTAAAGAGCAGCTAAGCATGATACAGACATAATTTGTAAGAACTTCTACAACATGTTTTTCTAACAAGCTGACCCTTCAAATGCCCCAGACAAACAGCACTAGAAGAGCCGCTTTGCAGCAGCCTGATTCATCTCACTCCAGCTGTTACGTTTATGACGTCTCTTCTTTAAAAACTCTGAAAAATATGCTAAAGAGATGAGGATATTATCTTGCAAATAAACTACTGAAAAGGGGAATGGCATAGTGACACTGAGGCGATGACAACCAGCTACACTCCATCGAATATATAACCCCAAAGCACTCCCCTTCCCGGCCACGTGCTTGTTCTGCACAGCTTCTGGCAGCAGCTTGCTTCCTTGGCAAGCTGGTTCTCCTTGCTGAGCCATCACAACACTAACCCAGCCAACTAACAAAAACCACTTTGTGCTGGTTAGCAAGCTGAACTCACCCGCTGCTGGTTAGAAGATACGGCCAGCACACAGGTGGTGTTGCGATCACCCTTTTAAGCTAGGGCAGAGTTAGATTTTCTTTCCTGAAACACCGGTCCTGGAAATGGAAAGGAAATCACAGAACCACAGAATGGCTGACGTTGGAAGGGACCTCCAGAGGTCATCTTGTCCAACCCGTTCCTTAAGCAGCGTCCCCTAAAACTGGATGCCCAGGACCATGTCCGGACATCTTTTGAATATCTCCAAGGATAGAGACTATATAATCTCCCCGGGCAACCTGTGCCAGTGCTTAGTCACTCTCACAGGGAAAAAGTGTTTCCTGATATTCAGAGGGAACCTCCTGTGTTTCAGTTTGTGTCCATTGCCTCTAGTCCTGTCACTAGGCACCACTGAAAAGAGCCTGGCTCCCTCCTC